TAAGAATATATTCTTAATTTCTCTCAAAATATAGTACTTTCAAGATTATCCAATGAAAAAGGAAAGGGTAACAATTCCTCTTGCACATATATGCTAGGCGTTCTCAACTCTAGGGGGCAGTGCTCATCTCTACTTCAAAGCCAAAGAGCCAGCGCTATCTGAAGACGTCTACATGGTCATGTGGCCAGCATGACAAAACGGCAAAGGCACACGGAACACTGTTACCTTCCCACCAAGATGGTCCCTATTTTTCTACTTGCATTTTTACATGCTTTCGAACTGCTAGGTTGGCAGAAGCTGGGACTAGTAATGGGAGCTCACTTCGATATGCAGCACTAGGGATTCGAACCGCCGAACTGCCAACCTTTCTGATCAATAAACTCAGCGTCTTAGCCACTGAGCCACCATGGCCCTTATTATCCAATGAAACAGTTAACTAAGACATATTCCAAACAAAGCAAAAATTCATACAACACAATCAACCTATAAATTTTACTGTTACTGGATGTGCTGAAAGCTAGTAGCACTTTAACCATCCATTATATCATTTCATGGAGACTACTAGCTATGAACAACCAAAAAACCCACAACTGTAATGTACAAAAGACAGTTAACCTCTGATGTGACAAAGCCACCTGGGACATTGTAATCTTTATGGTTTTAAGACTTAGCTTTCTGTTTTGTTGTCATATCCAGGAAAGCACAGTCTTTTCTGGAGGGAAACCACAGCAAAATCTGAAAGTAACTCCATAATTGCAAATCAAATCTGTTTTCAGAGAGTATTTCTTCAAACTATTGTTAGATTGAAGATAAAGTCATGTTTAAGGAACTGAAAGTCTTATAAAAAGGACCTCATTTCTCAAGATACACACTAAAGCTGTCTTCTCTCATGTATTGGAATTCAATTCCAAAAATACACAGAGCACCATGGTTATGCTGGGATTGGTTCAACACACCTAGACAACAGAAGATTGAGGAAGGCTGATATGTAGACTTTACAATATTTTATCACTTTATCAAATTTAAAAAATCTAATATCTACACAAGTCAAAGGGATACCTTGACAGGTAGAAACATGACAAAACTGATCCCCTTTAAATATGCATTAATTCTTGGAAAAATATGATTGAATAGCTACTTTAAACTAAATTATAATGTGATTTGTTTAAGCTTTGCTTTGGCATGATTAGCACATGGGTTTAGTGAATAAACCATTGTTTGTTTTAGGGCAGCAAGCCTCAGACTAAAGTCAGTTTATTACTGACTTGTTAAATGCACCATCATTTTAAGTGAGGTCTGAATAAGGATGCAGGGCACTTTTTTGTAGTTTCTTACCTTATTTCTAGTTGGCTTTTGTTACTGATAGCACTGCAACATTTAAAAAAGTATGGATTTCAATGTTAAGGGCAAGTCAGTTTGCAGCACTTTCTGGAAATACGAATTGGCATCTGTTAAAACTGCAAGGTGTTTCAAATAGGTATCTCCTGTATCTCTAACTAAGAAAGAACAACTCTGGGCTCCTCTTTCAAATGTTCTACTGGAGATCTGAATAGCATGGAAAGAACGTTGGTCCTTACCTGAACGTTTTTTTTGGGTAGTAGAGGCGGGAGAGACTACAACAGGGTTTAGTCACAGCCTGATTGGTTCAGAGACTGAGGGATTTTTCTTAAGTATCCTCCTTTCCCTCTTGGCTCCCAGTTTCACGAGGTCGAATGGAAAAACTGACAGCATTATGTAAGGAAAATAACACCACATATACAGAGAAATAACCGACCACCCCGACCCCATCTGATCAAACCAAGGGCAGAAAGTAGCCTCTCCCTCCTCTACTACAGAAAAGGACCAACGTTCTTTTCCCTGTAGTTTTGGTGGGAGGGGCTACAACAGGGACATACCCAAGCTAAGTCCCAGGGCAGGCCTTTGACTCCGCGGGAGGGGGGGCACCACCTGTTGGAGTACCCGACGGCCAAAGGCCGCGTCCGCCGAAGCGAAACGACCAAGGCAATAGTGCCGAATAAAGGGGGAAGGAGAGGCCCAGGTGGCCGCCCTACAAATATCCTTCAGCGGAGCCCTGGTAGCCCAGGCAGCCATGGTAGCCACACTCCTAGTGGAGTGGGTGGTAATGCCCTGCAGTGGAACCTGGTGAACTGCCTAATAGGACTCCATGATGGCCTGCTGCAACTACCTGCCTATGGTGGCAGAAGATATGCTAGCACCTAGTGTACTAGGTTGGAAGGACAGGAACAGGGCCTCTGATCACCTGATAGGAGATGTATGCTTGAGATAAATGCATAGGGTGCAGCGGACATCCAGGCGGTGCCAGCGGACCTCCCTCTCATGGGAAGGAGAAGGACAGAAGTTGGGAAGAATGACCTCCTGCGACCTATGGAATAGGGAGTTGACCTTTGGAAGGAAAGTTGGATCTAGCCTCAGGACAACCCTGTCTTGGTGGAATTGGCACAAATCCTCCTTGGACAACAAGGCGCCCAACTCGGAAATCCGTCTAGCTGAAGTTATGGCGACAAAGAAAATCACCTTCAGGA